CTCCCGCCCTTTTCCGGGTAAAAAAAAAACACCTTCTTATAATATCAACCCCTTTCTTTCTATTCCCTTCTCATTATTCCCCTTTTCCCCTTTCTCTCTTCCGTCTTTCCCCCTTTCTTCCTTTTCTGCCTTTTCTCTCCTCTCTCTCTTCCCCTTTCTTCATTCCCTCTTCTTTCTTTTCCACCCCCTTTTCTCCTTTTCTCCTTTTTTCCTTAACCCCTTCCCCCTTCTCCCCCTTTTTTTTTACCGGGGGGGGGCACGTGCCCCCCTTTGCCCCCCTGAATCCGCCACTGCAAAATTTGCCCATCTGACAGTAATTAAAAGTCTAATACCCCTTCCAGTATCTCTGCCCCCTGGATTTTAAAAGGGCTCTAAGGCGGGTCCATGGATACTCATCTGACCGTGATTTTTTGCCTAAAACCCCTGGGCTTCCGGAGGCTCCGCCCCATGGACCCCACGCCGATTAGTGACCTGTCAGTGGCATTAATAAGGCATCAAAATATGTTCATCTGACCGTAATGAATGCCCATACCGCCTGAACTTCCGGGGGCTCCGTTCCTTGACCCCCGCCGGGGCTTGCCAATAGACCCCATGCCGAAGATTTGTTTAAATTTCTATTTCCTTTGAAATAACCGGGTCTGGAGGAAAGACTACGCTCTATACCTATGCGCCTGTAATCCAGCTAACAGTGGAAGTTACAAACTGATTCAGCCGAGAACGCAGGTTCGAAACTGAGTCACGTCTTTCGGATGGTGACGTTAAAAGTCGGTCCCCAGACGTAAATAATCATATCTGATTGATACACGTCTGTAAAAACCCAAATACACACACACACACACACAGTTATTCCACAGGAATGAGATGGTGAGGTCTTAGTTTGAAGATTTTTTTTTTAAATAACCGAGTCTGAAGTAAAGAATAGCTCTAATCCCATGCTTTATTACCGGGTCTTAATTTGGAAGATGGAGGGGTTTTAGTTTAAAAGGTTTTTTTTTTATTTTTTAACTTTTGAATAACCGGGTCTGGAGGAAAGACTACGCTCAATACTCTTGTTCTTCCACAGGAATAAGATGATGGAGTCTTAGTTTTGAAGATTTTTAAAAAGTTTTGAAAGAACTGGGTCTGGGAGAAAAACTACGCTCTAAACCCACGCTTTACTACCGGGTCTTAGTTGGAAGATGGTTGGGTCTGCAGGGGCGGATCTAGCTTTTTGCTAAGGGGGGGGTTGACCAAAATAATGACGATGCGGAGCATCGTCCACGAGCCGCGAAGCGGCGAGCCGATTTTTTTTGGGGTGTTTATTTGAACCCCGTAAGTGATGTTTTCCTGGCATCTATTAACACAATGGAGACCATAAAAAGCAGTGCATGATAACGTCTTTTTAAATCAAGTAACAGTTAAATACACAGTTATATCCAGAGTTATCATGTGTTTGGTTAAGTTACCTGATGAGTTGAATATCTTCTCACAATATTTGCACTTGAAAGGGTTTCTCTCCAGCGTGCGTTCTTTTTTCTTTCTTTTTTTCTTTCTTTTTTTCTTTTTCCCCTTTTTTTTTGGGGGGGGGCCGCCCAAGGGGGGGGGGGGGTTGCAACAACCCCCCAACCCCCCCCCCCCCCTGGATCCGCCACATAAGTTTTTTGTTTGTTTTTTTACTTTTGAATAACCGGGTTTGGAGGAAAGACTACGCTCGATTCTCATGTTATTCCACAGGAAAAGGATTATGGGGTCTTAATTTTGAAGATATTTTAATTTTTTGAAATAACCGGGTCTGGAGTAAAGACTGCGCGCTATACCCATCCTTTATTACAGGGTTTTAGTTTTGAAAAAATTCGACAAAATATCCCTTCAAATTTATTACATTTGTGGGTAAAGTCATTATTACATTTGTGGGTGATTCAAAATTATTACATTTGTGGGTAAAGTGGTAATTACATTTGTGGGTGAAATTATTACATTTGTGGGTAAAGTGTTTTTACATTTGTGGGTGTTATAACATTTGTGGGCGTTATTACATTTGTGGGTGTAACAGGGACTAAATTTAGACAAGGACACGATACAACGAATCGTCTTCTTTCTATAATAATTTAATGAAATGTGAATGCTTCCGCGTTTAGTGTGGGATGGCCGTAAATGAATTCAGACACGATTTAAGAGTGATAATTTAATGAAACGCTAAAGCTTCCGCGCTTCGCGCGGGAGGAGGGGAACTGAATTAAGACAAGGACACGATACAACGAATCGTCTTCTTTCTCTAATAATATAACGGAACGTGAAAGCTTCCGCGCTTCGATTGAGAAGGGGGAAACTGAATTGAGGAAAGGATTAATTCGAAAACAGTACAACGAATTGTCTTCTTTCTCTAATGATTTAATGAAACGTCAAAGCTTCCGCACTTCGCGCGGGATAGGGGGAACTGAGTTCAGACATGGAATAAGAGTCGAGAACGGGACAACGAACCGTCTTCTTTCTCTAATAATTTAATAACACGTCATAGCTTCTGCGCTTCGCGCGGGAGGTGCGAAACAAGAATTAAGAGTCAGGAACGATACAACGAACCGTCTTCTTTCTCTAATAATTTAATGAAGTTTAAAAGCTTTCACGCGTTCCGGGCCCCGTGTTCATAGGGTTAAATTTGTAGATATTGGGACATTGGGACAAATATATATTTGTCGGCAATTGGTGGCTGGTTTTGTCGGTGATCGGTGGCCGCCACAACCCCCCCCCCCCCCCCCCCCCCCAATGAATAAGGTCTAGTGACGCCCTTGATGACACCACAGTTTATACATTCGAGATAATGTTTGCTACTGGTGAAGTACAAGATCATCGTCTTTGTGTATTATGCAGCAACGAAGCATATACAACGTCTCACGACGTGACAGATCACTTTTCTCTAACCTGTAACCATCAGAAGGCCTCGTTTCCAGGAAGTGCCGGTGAACATTAATGCGCCAAATCTGGTTCTCTAATTGCAAAAAAGATCATTACTCTTGGAAGGGGTAGGAGAAAGCAATTTTACGTCATATTATTCCAGGAAGTGCCTGAAAATGCGCCTAATGTGGTTCTAAAATTGCTTCCTACTCGGGGAGGGAGTTCTGACCCATTCCCAAACCCATCCCCGCTAAGTCGCTCCGCTCCCTCGCTGCTGACGCCTCGCTCTGTCGTTTCGCCTCATCGTTTTTCATATATTTCACCCCATGCGATTTTGTGTTCCCCCCCCCCCCCGGTAAGAAATTCCTGGATCCGCCACTGTTTTGATATCTTATTTGCGACACTGGCAGGTCACTAATTGGCGTGGGGTCAAGGGATGGATCCCCGGAAGCCCAGGGGTTTAAGGCATTAAATTACCTTCAAATGAGCATTCAGGGAACCGCCATAGGGCCCTAGGTGGGGTCCAGGTGGCAGAGCCTCCGGAATTCAGGGGTATTAAGCATTTAATTACTGTCAGATGAGCAAATGTTGATACCTTATTTGGGACACTGGCAGGTTACTAATTGGCGTGGGGTCCAGGGGCGGAGCCCCTGGAAGCTCCGGGGTCTTAGCCATTTATTCACGGTCAGATGAGCATATTTTGATACCTCATTATTTAGTGACACTGGCAGGTCACTATTTTTTCTTTTTTCCTATTTCTCTTTGTTTGTGTGTGTGTGTGGGGGGGGGGGGGCTCCACCGTTTCGTGGGCCGTGACATTTAGGCCTCACAATAAGCAAAATTCGTGCCTGACTGTAATTTGGGGAATTTGTCATTTTCCAGTAAACGCTTAATAAAAATGTATGATTTACTAAAAATTATTTACCCGAAAATTATGTCATTTCACAAAATTTGGACATCACTGGGTTCGACTTCGAATTAGAAAAAACACAGGTTTGAATTTCTTTCTTCTTAGGAAGGCTGCCCTCTTTTACCTTTCTTCTTCCTCTTTTTTAAATTTTCCTTTCCCTTCCCTTCCTTTCTCTTTTAAGTTTGCTGGGGGAGGCAAGGGCCTTTCGCCCAACCCCTCTCCAATACACACATTGTTGGCTGGATTAATTGCAACCGATCTCCCCTTCTTTTCACCCTTTTCTTGTTTCTTCCTTTGTGTTTCCTTTTAGCTCTCCTCTTTCCCTTTCCCTTCCTTCTCTCTTTTTTTTTGGCGGAGTGGGGGGGATGTGTGGACGGGGAGGCAAGGGCTTCCCCCCTCCCCGATCAACATATTGTTGGAGGGGAAATTGCAATGATATCCATCCCCCTTCTTTACTTGTCTTCTTCCTCTCTGTTCCTTCCCTTTATCTCCTCTTATCCTTTTTACTTTCCCTTTTTTTTTTTGGGGGGGGGGGGTAATACATTTCTTTCCTCCTCTTCTCCTTTCTTTCCTTTCTCTCCTCTGTCCCTTTCCGTTCTTTCTCCTTTTTTGGGGGGGGGCGGGGTGGGGGCCAAGGCCCCCTCGGCCCTCCCCCCCCCCCCCCCCCCACCCTGGGTCGGTGCCTGGGTGAGACAATTAAGGATCGAGAGAGAGAGAGAGAGAGAGAGAGAGAGAGAGAGAGAGAGCAAGAGAGAGAGAGAGAGAGCAAGAGAGAGAGAGAGGGAGAGAGAGATAGAGAGAAAGAATGAGGGGGGGGGGGGGGGGAGTCGGCGAATTGTTTAATATGCTTTTTTATTTTAAATCTGCGACGACCCCCGGGAACGCAGGATCTCAATAGTTAATTTGCAGGAACAAACCATAGTTGCACAAACCCTTGTTAGTCGTAGTGTGTGAGAACAAAGAGTATCTCTTTGGTGAGAACCTGTAGAATGTCTGAAGTTTAAAAAAAAAAAAAAAAAAAAACTATACCAACTGCACGATCTACTGTACATCATAAGCTCACGTACTATGCTGCTCATGACGCAATCTCCACTAGAGACTGAGCTGACAGAGCTAAGCTCAGCTCAAGGCTTAATGGAACTTTGTTTTATATATCGAATTAAAGTCTGTTACTGCAGACTATGATCTCACTCGCTCAGTACCCCACTACCCACTACTCACACGCCTGTAGTGTAGGCCTACTGTTCATCGGCATCTCAGCTCAGCTAACTTTCGATGCTGGCACTTCATGAAGTTCATGTTCCTGTGAATTGTCGTTAATGGTGAGCATTATTTGTTTATCGTGCTCGCTTTACCTATATAATCAGACGTATAACCACACAAGAACGTTATTTCTTGGATTATAGCATCATATTTAATAATAGACGATAATTGTATCAAGGAGGATATTCTCTTCGGTTGAAGTTTGTACAAAATAGCCTCCTAGCTGAGCTCCTATGCGAATTACAATGCAAAGTAACTACCACTACCAGCCATATACAGTACCTCACCTCACGCCTCAGCTCAACTCGGCTTCAGTTTTCGAAGCGCCCTGCATTTGTAATGCGGAATTGCTTTGAAGTTCCGCATGTACGCACTGCAATAATAGTTGGTTTGCTTGAATGTGGATTCGTGTAATGTGAATGTTTACGGTGAAAGACATGGCTATATTATCAATTATGATGCCTCTAGTCTAGGCTTTAATCCATCTCGCTTGGTATGCAGAACTAATTCATTGCATGTAATTGTTGGTGTGAGTGCAATGCAGATGCAGGTGGCCGTGGGGGGGGGGGGGGGGGGGGGGGGGGGAGGGGGAGGGGGGAGGGGCAGGGGGGAGGGGCCGGGGCAGGGGGCTGTGGGTGTAGAAGAGGTCGAGGGGATGATGGGTGCCTTATATCGTAGATGGGAACAGCACGGAGCATGGGGGCCAGCCAATACTGCAATAGCTCAACTACAACATTTGATGCTATACTGACATTCATATCTCCTGCACGTACATATATTAATTTCAGCTTTATGCGCATAATCATAATCATAATCTATGAAGAGGGGGCATAGTATACTCCCATTATAATATAATGGGAAATAAATATGATAAAACAAAACAGATAACAATTTAAGAGAAGAAATATAATTAAGGCCACATGAACTTAAATCCTAGTTTCTCATCCCACGCCCTTCCTCTTTTTAAGTTGGCCGCCTCAATATTTTGGTTCTTTTTCTGAAATAGGACATCTACACAAGAAAAATCATATACGTTGCACTTTTATGAGTCTCTGTGCAATGTGCATACAGGGTAATCTGGGTAATTGTGCCTCCCTTTTCATATTTTTTTCTTCAACTACTGCAAACAATGCAATTAAATTGCTAACGGATATGGTTACATAATTTACAGCTGTGGGTGGGGGACCTATCCAGATCCATACCACAACATTTTTTTTACTTCATAAACATGTTAATTATGATGCTAATTAATAATAATTCAATTCATTCAATTCAATTCAATTCAAAAATGGTTTTTATTAGAGCAGAAACATGATTCATATACAAATACAATTTTACATGAAGGACAGCCTTGGCTGGAATATACATGTTTACATGTTCAGCACAATAGATAACACTTTTAAATATATACAAGTAAAAAACTAGCAATATCAAAAATAAGACTCTGATTCTGTAACTAAAATCCATAAACACATTGCACAAGTTTCCAGAAATACAGCTGTAATTGTTTACACATGTCCTATAAAAGTCAATACAAGCATGGTAAAAAGATTAAAATGGGTACATTTTAAACAGCCTGTTGAGGGGAGGAGACAAGCACTTAGTACACCTGCAATAACAATAAAAGTACAAAATAAAACAATTTTTTTTTTTTTCAACTTTTATTGAGTATGTCAACTAGAAATGACAGTGGGCTATTTTTAAATCTTTTTGTTTTGAATTGAAATTGTTGATAGATGGGAATACGGCGAAGAGTGATATTAGTGTTTTTTTTCTTAGGTAACCAGGTCTGACAAATAGAGTGATTTGAAAGAGATTTTGCGAATTTTCTACAAAGTGCTAGTCTCCTCTCCTCAAGAGTTGGTAAATTGCATACTTGACATGCATTAGAATAGGTAATGTAACTAGGCCCTAAAATAATCTTACATACTCTACGTTGTATTTTTCAAGATTATTGTTTTGTTCTACTGTAAGACTGCTATGGAACGCAGGAGCACAATATTCTAAAATTGGTCGTATATAACCTACGTATATTGTCACTAAATCCTTAGAAGGTAAGTTGAATTTCTTAAAGTAAATAATAATAATAAATCGATCACTCAACAACCAATCAATAACTCGACCTGTCAATCATTCCATCGATCAGTGACCCATTCCTTCACCCAACCAATCAATCAGTGAATCCATGAAGTAATCAATCACCTAGTTAATACATTAATCAATATCATTCAATCAATTAGTCGGTCGATCAATCAATGAAGTAATCAATAAGTCAATGGATAAGTTGATCAGTCAGTCATTCAATCAATCAGTCAATCAACCAAACAATCAGTCATTCAATTGATCACTTAATCTGTCAATCTTGCATTCAGTATAGAGTCAATCACTCATCCAATCAACCAATCAATCACTTGACCTGTCAGTCATTCCATCAATCAGTTGGTCAATCAATCCATCAGTCAATTAATCAGCCAGTCAAAGGAATCAAATCAATGATGCAATCAGTTAAACAGTCAATATATCAATCAATAAATTGAACAATCCATCACTCAATGGATCAATTAGTCAGTCAATCTATCAATCAGTTAATCAGTCAATCTATCAATCAGTAAGTTGATCACTTGACCTGTCAATTATTCCATTGATCAGTTCATTGTAATCTTTAAGTGAGCATTCCATGTAAGTTTAGTTGGATTCTCTGTATTGGGTGAGTACTTTGACCATGAAATTGACCATGTTGCTTTAGAAATTACTGGACATTTGTTATAAAACAAAATAATAATGAACGAGAGGCCTTCCTGTTCAATGATTGACTAATCAATTATGTAATCAAATAACAATCAATCAATAAATCAATGTCTAGCAAACCCGTGGCAAGCTATTGAGTTGTCAAGGGAATCCTTTCTTCAAGAAGTAATAAGTATGCATAAAATTAGTAATCGGGTTTATTGATGTGAAATGGAAAGTGTTATTTAGGAAATTACGGAGGAAATGCTTATTCCCTGTAATAACGAAAAAGTTTGCCTTCGTTTTCTGAGTTCCTCTTATCTAAAAAGACCATCTTGAGGGAAAATACAAAAATAAACTAAAAACTTCCAAATTACAATTTGAAGTGAATATAGATAACCATTTTGCTTTCCAAATTACTGGACATTTGTTATTAAACAAAATAATAATGAACAAGAGGCCTTCCTTGTTAATGATCTTTCTTTTAATTTAATTCACTCTTTCTTCATTAATCACACTGCAGAGAAATCTAATTGTGGAATTGTTAACAGACTGCTTTACATCAGCTTTAATGGCAAAAACAGATCCTGCAACCAATTGTAAAATAAAATTAATGCATAGCACCGGTACTTCTCCCTTTCCTCATGCTAAGGGAAATGTTACAGGAAACAACATTCCTTTCAGTGGCATAGCTCTGGTCCATCGATTGGAGGGGGGGGGGGGGGGGGGGGGAGATAGGCATAAACCGCCATCATTGGTGATAAGGGAGATGGGGGCATAGGGCTTAGTGGATGAATAACAATGCAAATTACAAGTTACCAATGGGGTGAGAGTAAGGGAGGTAGAGAGGCGAGAGTTAGGAGGAACACTCATTATCTTTCCTATTTCCTACTCCCACTTTCATTTTATTCCCCTCCCCTTCCCTCTTTATTCTTATTTTTGTTTGTTGGGGTGGGAGGGGAAGAGGGAGGTAATACTTTTCCCAGTGTCCCTGGTATAGCACCAGACTGTTCCCATTCATGTGTTTTGTACAAAAAAAAACTTTGCTCTTGAGACACAAAAGGTTAATTCAAAGTCAATGTAAAATCTGAAATCTGTTATCTGTAGAAATGCAAATGCAACCATGCACAAAAGGTGAAAAGTTGAATAACCTACCATTTGTCTACCAAAATATTTACAGTACCATTGTGTACCATAATCTGCCAAAGGTGAAAAGTTGAATAATCTACCATTGTTGTTAGGAATAGAAACGTCTCTACTTTCAATATTATCTGCAAACTGCCAAGTGCCATGATATAGAGTGTATGTCATTTTCGTAATGTATCCAAATTCAAAGCATAGATCTAGGCCTTAAGCATTGTTAAGTGCCTGGAAAAAAATTGAAGTTTATGTGTTGTTGAAAGTTGAATAACCTACCATTAGACTACCAACAAATCTAGAGTACCGTTGTCTCCCATAATCTACCAAAGGTGAAAAATTAAATAAATATACCATTGTTGTTAGGAATAGAAAATCTCTACTTTCAATATCATCTGTAAACTGCCAAGTGCCATGATATAGAGTGTATTACATTTTTGTAATGTATTCAAATTCAAAGCATAGGCCTTAAGCAATGTTAAGTGCCTGGAAAAAAATATGAAGTTTACCTATAAAGGTATTCTATTTCAATGCAGAGAGTTTAGTACATAGACTACAATTTGAAAGGTCAGGTATACTTAATTGTTTGCCCTAGGTGTTTCTATCGCTATGGATTGGTGTCAGTTTCATTCGATGGGCCTGCTACCTTTTTATGCTCAAACGGGAGCCTGGCAAAAACATTTCTACCTCAATGTGTTGTACAGGAATATATGGGTGAATGGCTTGATCAATATCAGCCCTGAAGTCTGCATGCAAATTATATTTTCTTTTCAAAATGGATGAGTTCTAGATGATGACCCAGACCATTGATTCATAGTCATGGGAGATGACACTCTGCTTAGTAAATTGTGCATACATGTGTATAAAGAACATTCATTTTGTAAAAATTGACAAATGTGTGAACCAATATAAAATTGAACTATTTCCTTCTAAAAAAGAGCCTTCAAAGTCACCATAGACTGAAAACTCACTTAATAATGGTTTAGGCATTGAACTCTACTATTATTACTTTGGTACCCAATGAAAAGCAATTCTACCGTGGAATCACCCCCTGCACTCTTTGTATATTAGAGTACGGGGACACCCCAACCAGTTCTTGAAGGAATGGCCCAGAGGGAAGGTCTACAGGTGAAGCCATTTTCTGTAATCATAAACCTTATAACATTGTCAAATTCCCCTGTTTTTGTCATTGCAGTTTGGAGCTGTAACATAGCCACATGTGGGGTTCTTAGATCTAATGCTCACTCCCTCGAAACTCAAACGTCTCTGACTGTGTGACCCTTCAAAGCGTAGTTTGCCAGTGAACAGTTTGCGTCGATGGCTTCTATTCTACACCTCAGAGTCCCCCTCGTCTTGGGCATCGTACTACTCCAAGTCATCGTACCCACCGCCTGGTCAACGACGACGTCGTCCAATGACCAGTTCGTCTACGAGGATGTCTTCAATGATCCTCGTCGTGATGCACAGATCAAGGAGAGCTTCCCTGAGGGGTTCATCTGGGGTGTAGGAACGTCTGCCTACCAGGTAGAAGGAGCTTGGAATGAAGACGGGAAAGGTACGTTATGTACATATATATTTAGGTAGTTAAATAGAATGTTATTCACTCGATAAAAAAGAATGAACATGTGCATTATTGTACAAATAATACACAGCAGGGAGGGCATCAGTAAGAGTGAACCACACAAGGTACCTTTGGCACGGTCTAACATACCCCGAGGCGATATGTTTTGAAGGAACCAAGTGTTGGTAATCTTACTAATGCACGAACAAGATGATGTGTATTGAATTTATTCCTTGAAATGCTAGAGCGCCGTATGGCAGCCGTGCTAAAGCCAGGGTAATAATCGGGAGCGCCAGGAGGGTCAAATCTGACTGACATGAGCGCTATACAAGAACCCACTATTATTATTATTATTATTATTATTATTGTTTGTTTTATAAGATTACCTTTTATTTGTTTTTATAAAATGATGTTTTATAACATGATTTTACGAATTAGCGTTTGATGATGACCGGTCATTATCAAAATGCTGGTTAGGCAAAATAATTGCCTGGTCATGTGTATGCTCTCAACCAATCATTTGGTTAGGATCCATGTCATCATCTTATAATCAGCTATACAGTGAAGTCAAACAGAACAAAATAATACAACATAAATCAAAGCATTCACCCTGCATGAATTATATAAATAAAGAGTGGGACAAAAAAATAATACAGCTCCAGTGAAGTCTGGCGTTAAAGATTGAAATTGTTAGTTGTACCGGCCCTAGCACGAAGAAAAAGGAATAGAAGAAAAGAGAAGAAGAAGAGAAGAAGAAGAGAGGGAAATAAGTTGATATTCATAAGTCGTTGTGATTTTCTAGAAAATAATTACATAATGGTAAAAGGACTAGAGTATGTGAAGGGCCATAGCAAAATCAACAGGTGAAATTAAAAAAGAAACCAGGAGAAAAGCAAATGCTGCTTAAATTACACTGTTAAAAAACTTCAATTGTTGGTAAGAGCTGTGTTTAACAGAAATAGAATGTTATATTTGGGTAAAGGTAAAACTGAAACATAACTTTTGAGCTTTTCTCGTTATTTCAATATTGGTAAGTAGGAATATCATAGTATTATTTTACCCTGGGAACGGTTGCGCTTCAAATGACCTCATATTCATAATATAAAGAGTTGGAAGTTGGAAAGTTTGGACCCAACTTTCATGCCACATGTGTGATTTTTGTCTTTCTGTATACCCATGATTTTTCTGTGTGCAATGCATGCATTAAATTTTTCTGACAAGATCCAGTCAATAAAATTTCATTTCGATCAAATGTTGCAAAGCCTATTAAACCACTGATTCTTATGCACTACATAATCCAATTAGGTTCTAGAAAGTTTGACAATAAAATTGCATGACAAGAACTCAACTCAGATTTTTAATTCCCATCCCTCCAGGCCCGTCAGTATGGGACACGTTTACCCACACGCCAGGCAAGATCCATGAGAATCAAAATGGCAACGTGGCCTGTGACAGTTACCATAGATACGCTGATGATGTCCGCTTGATCTCTGGCCTCGGTGTGACCCACTACCGCTTCTCGTTTTCCTGGTCACGAATATTCCCCAAGGGGTTTGTCGATGAGGTAAGAAAGAGTCTGAGAATCTTAGAAAATGTGAAATATAAATATCGTCTTTATTTTCTTATTTATGTTTTTATTAATTCATGTAGATGTATGTATGTATTTATATCATTACAAGATTACATCTGGCAATGGCCTATACGTATAGCAAAGAGGAAGAAGTATTTTTAATTTGTATGCCTCCATTACAAAGTAGCCGGAGGCATTATGTTTTCGGGTTGAATGTCCCTCCGTCCTTCCATCTATACGTCCCGTTCTCGTGATTGCATTAACTCAAGAACCAATTGATTTATTCCCGCCAAACTTGCGTCATGTATGTATCTTGCAGAGCCATTGAACTGATTAGATTTGGGGGTCATGAGGTCAAAGGTCACATGGCTCATGTGTGCAAAAATAGCTCCCACATCACCCTCCAATATCTCAGGCTGCTCTTTTATTGTAGTTTGCGGTTTTCAGCATTTCCAGAGTAGTCATTAGATGTCTTCCTTAGGTGAATGTTGGAGGGGTGGAGTACTACCACTGTCTTTTTGATGCCCTCCTAGATGCTGCTATTCAACATCATGTTAATATACTCTCTATCACTTGATCTGCTAAAAAGTTTTTTAAATGATTACACCGACTCTAAGTCCTGAACCATCAATGATAAATCCTGTGAGGTACCTCTTGACCATGCCCGGGTAGAGAATGGCAAAATAGATAGAAAGCTTTATACCAAAAGACTTTTAACTTGACTCTGCCACATATACATGTACAATGCCAGGGATCCTGTAACTTTGTCTCAGATTCTGAAACAAAATCCTGGATTTTGTTCATGCTGCAATACAAGCCGATCGCCTGTCTGATTATCAAGATATTTATGATCGGAAATCAAAACCAAATTTTGCTTTTCCTAACGGTTTCATAACAGTACAGTCCAAATAGAAATACGAATAGACCAGAAGATAATAGTTGTAGGAAAGGATATTGGAAACAAGAAAATTCACTTCTGAATATTATTTTTAATTATGCGCAATATGCAATTTATAAATGTTACGTTAAGAAGATTGTTAATGGTTCTGTTTACTACCCACATACTTTGTTTTTTTAATTCAATTCGTTGCTAAGATTATTTTTAAGATATGAATGTGTTAGCAAAGAAAATAATACTAAGCTGGAAGAATTGTTGAATGTACTTTAATCTTTAGCCTATGTTATGTTTCATTCAATTATTATTATGGAAATAAAAACCTCGCTTGAGGATAAGAGAACAAAATAACAGTACAGTCTATTGGGGAAAACGAGTATGGTAAAACTGGTCTCTCAAATTTTAAAACTTTTTTTTGAGGCACTTGATGATCATTTTGAAGCGCAATTTTTGCAGGGCTTCATTATTACACCATATCACAGACACTGATAACACGTATGGCCATGCATCTCAGATTGAACATTGTTAAACGATGCCTTTAATGCTGTTATATTGTTTTTACTACCAATACAGGTGAATCCTGCAGGGGTGCAGTACTACCACCGTCTGATTGATGCGCTCCTGGCTGCCAACATCAAACCTGCGGTTACCCTCTACCATTCTGATCTTCCAATGGCGTTACAGGAGCTCGGTGGATGGGAAAATGAGATGATGGTGGTCTATTTCAACGACTATGCTGATTTCTGTTTCAAGGAGTTTGGTTCGAAGGTGGGTTTGGACGGAAGATTTGAGATGACAAAAGAACGTCTACCGAGAAACAAAACCAATTTGATTTGCCTATTTGGGACTCCCAATCAAGAACTATCTATTAAACCCTGAACTGGCTATTGTTCGCAATTGCACAATAAACTGTTTCAAGCATGATTACCAAACCGTTGCAACAGTAGCAAATTTTAAAGGTAAAGACCAGTTTTGGAAACGCCCCCCTCTCAAAAAATGAAATTGAAGCTCTTATTACCAATAATGTGAAAGAATATGTTTTGACTAATACGTGATCATACAAATTTTGAACAGAAACCGCCTACTAATTGATATATGTGGTAAATTATTATATCTATTTGGACCTGATGGATATAATGCACGTGTAGCTCACGTGTGCCTAGTCCGATATACATCTTTCTTTGTACAGTGCTTGTAAGTTTACCAAGACTGGGCCAAAAAAAAAATTCATTTAATTTTGATAATTCCAGAACCTTGCAATACACACCAATACTTATATGCTACATGATCAACCTTTTCTGATCGATTCCACAATGTTTCTTTCACAATTCAATTACATGACCATAACTGGTCTTTATCTTTAAAGGTAAAGACCAGTTATGGTCATGCGATTGCATTGTGAAAGAAACGTTGTGGAATCGATCAGAAAAGGTTGATCATCTAGCATCTAGCATCTGCAAGGTTCTGGAATCATCAAAATGATAAGAAATTTGGCCCATTCTTCGTAAAGTTACAAGCACTATACACAGAAAGATGTATATGGGACTACCCTATATCTCTCACAGACCATGAGAGAAACAAATTTACCAAATATATGAATTAGTAGGCGGTTTCCCGACAAATTTTTTATCATCATGTATTAGTCAAAAGATATTCTTTCACATGATTGGTAATGAGAGCTTCCATTTCATTTTTTGAAATTGGGGCGTTTCCAATACTGGTCTTTACCTTTAAGAACAAAAATGCCTAACGCATTACCTTCCATTGATAATCTGGGTTTCATTCTACACAGAAACATATTTTCTACTCAAAGAAAGAAGACCAATGACATTGCATCAATGACTCTGTAGAATTTCCATTCTTTTTGGGCCACCCTGTATATAAGCAGTCATTATTAAGAATTTACTCAACATGTACCTGGGGGGTGTTTCATAAAGCTGTTCGTAAAGGTGTGCATGACTTTACGAGTAACTTAAATATGAAAAGCCAAATGGGATGCTCAATCATTATTAACCGCATCAACTAAAGTTGGACTGTGCAGATGTAGATTAGCATTCTTACTATAGCAAACATTTGAAATACAAAGTACCGGTATATTTTGTTGCCATAATTTAATTGAGGTTATTGGAAATATAGTGACACTTTGTTAAAACATCAGGAGAAACTTTGGGCATCCTATTTGGCACTTCGTATACAAGACGTTCGTAAATTCATGCGTAACTTTACGAACAGCTTCATGAAATTACACCCCCCCCCCCCTGTGCAGATGTAGATTAGCATTCCTCCTATAACAAACATTTTTAATACAAAGTACCTGTATATTTTTTCGCCATACTTAAATTGAAGTTATTGGATATATAGTCACACTTTGTTAAAACATTAGGAAAAACTTTGGGCATCCTATCTGGCACTTTGTATACAAGACGTTCGTAAATTCATGCGTAACTTTACGAACAGCTTTATGAAGTTACACCCCCCTGTGCTGTTCTATTATGTTTATAGGTTAAAATGTTCACAATCAACCAACCCAGAATCGACGCTGTGCTTGCAGGAAGCCATCTTTCCTCACAATTGATATCACGTGACGAGCTCTGGACCAAACACATCTCGGTATCTGTCAAAGCTACCTTATATTAAGAATTTACTCAACATGTACCTGTGCTGTTCTATTATGTTTATAGTTTAAAATGTGGTTCACCATCGACCAACCCAAAATCGACGCTGTGCTTGCAGGAAGCCATCTTTCCTCACAACTGATATCACGTGACGAGCTCTGGATCAATCACATCTCGGTATTTGTCTAAGCTATCAAATATTAAGAATTTAGTAAACCTATACCTGGGCTGTTCTATTATTTTTATAGGTGAAAATGTGGTTCACCATCAACCAACCCAGAATCGACGCTGTGCTTAGTTACGAAGAAGCCATCTTTCCTCCCGGGAGGAGGCAACCAGGATATGGGGTGTACAGGGTAGTTCACGTCATGCTCAAGGCGCATGCGCGTGCCTGGCATACTTACGATATAAAATATCGTAAGGAACAAAAAGGTGTGCTGTCGCTCGTCATCGGGGCCGGATGGGTCGAGCCGTTGACCGAGGCGGAAGCTGACGTGGAAGCCGCAGAGAGGGGGAGGCAGCTGGAGGTTGGTCTTGTGGCCAATCCAATATTCGGCAATGGTAATTACATCCATAATGCCCATAGAGTGCTGAAGTGTGACGTCATCAAAAATCTATTTTTGGAATTTCTCAATTTTGTCTTCATTTTCCAGAAGAGCAGAAAAGTTAACGTCCAAATGTTGAAAACCAATTGAATATGTAAAGTATTGGCTGAGATATGGCTATCTGAATAACTAGATTTCCTATAGGAACTCAGTGTTATATTGCTCTGGCTCCGATGGTCATATTTCAGCCAATACTTAAAGGTAATACAAAGTTTTGGGAAATTTTGAAAATTGGGTGGATAGTGATTCTTTACAATTTTGATATAATTGGATGCCCCTGTGGATGTATTATAAGCACTAGAAAATTTAGCACCTAAAACACTTCTGCTTTCGAGAAAAATTGAATATAAGAATTTACCGGTGCTCCCAGTAAATTTTGATAAATTTAAAATAGCACCTATGGGAGTACAATGGTAGCCGCGACCATGAAAATTTCAGAATATGTAGTTGTGATATGTAATTTCAACGAAGGGAAGAGCTAATTGGTCAACTTTAGTCAAGAATATCTTTTTATAGCGAAATTAATATCTTGACCTTGATAGGGAGCTATACAACATAAAGAGTTTAGTATTCAAAATTTGATAACTTTAGACTCGATTTCAACCACGACAATGATCACTGAATATTGTAGGATCGCATATGCTTCCAATATGTTCATTTGAACCAACTTCATGACCCTATACCAAAGCTTTGTATTACCTTTAACTATTCAATTGGCTTTTGACATTTGGACATTATTTTGTATGCTCTTTCAGAAAATGAAGAAAAAAATGAAAAAATTCCAAAAATAGATTTTTATGATGTCACAGCTTTGGTACTCTATTGATCACTAGGTGCCATTTCCTAGACACAAGAAGACGTCGGTGATTGGTGGGGCCTTTGATCCGCTATGTGATCATGACATCGTACTAATACTGGGCTAACTGGAGGATGCTAACATCGGTTATGATTACTTGTTTACAGGCTGATTGACTTCACATGCTTTGTTAGTGCAAATAACAGAATCGAAATATCATCTCGTGCGCAACAGACATTTTGCTTTTTATAAAGGAGTCTTTTCGCAATGGATTCCATTTAGGCATAGAATATATAAGACAGATCCACGTCCAGTGTTTAAAGACCCCTAGGCAATTCCTTTACATATACACCCTATAGGTAGAAGCCTAGCAGAAGGTTTCAAATCTTTTTGAAACCAACATTGACATAAACTCGCAATTCTTTTTAAGTGATGAAATCAATTGAAGTAGTAGAATCGTTTCTCTTCTGCAATGGGTATTTTCTGTACTAGACCTTCAATGAATTGAAACGCATCCTTTGCGCATAATAAAATGAGCGCTTTAATTGTTGCTGATTGGAATAATGTCATGTCATGTACCATGTACATGCACGCACCATAGACGTATGACAGCTTAGTGTCTGTCGCCATTGCCCAAAGTTTCATTGTTTCACTGCGCGTAGGCGTGCTTTGGTTTAGCATAATATTCAGTTTATCGGTTGCTATGCTAGTGCTGTGATAATCAATGTCAAATAACTTGAAAACTCCTTGAGTAAAAATAGCCAAAATGAGACCAAGGCTGTTAAGGGGGAAAATCCTACAGTCACGTTACATTAGATCCTACATTACATTCTTTGAGCAAGGATACACGTCTACTTTACTATGAATATATTTTTAGCCTGGGTTGCTGTTTCAAAGAAAAGGAAATCACCCTCCCTATTACTAGTTGAATTAGTGCCTTGGTTTAATACTTTTAGATGTAAGTATGTATGTCACATTTTCGAGGCAAAAAAAGTTGGGAAAGATCAATCTTTGACATACTTAAAAAATTACAAAACTTTATAAGGGTATGAAAAATTTAGTTGTTAACTGTATATATATTAATATAAATATTGTGTATATTACTTTTTTCCAGGTGACTACCCGGCATTAATCAAGGAGTGTGTGGGTAATCGTAGTCTAGCACAGGGCCTTACTACATCAAGACTGCCCAGCTTTACCGAAGAAGAGAAGCGATTGCTCGAAGGAACCGCTGACTTCTTTGCTCTAAATCATTACACGTCCAGGTATTTAGAACTGGGTTTGGGGCCTGCAGGTAATTTTTTTATATTGACGAAAGTGACAAATACATTCGTTTGGGGACACCCTGTATAGGCAGTTATTATTAAGAATGTACTAAATATGTTATTGGGCTGTTCTATTTTGTTTAAAGGTTGAAATGTCGTTCACCTTCAACCAACCAAAAATGATCGCTATACTTGATTACGACCATCTTTCCTCAAGGGAAGAGAATTGGTCACAAACTTGCAAACTCACATATTTGTAATTGGGCCTTTAAAAAAAAAATGTTGTGACCCAAAAATCTTGAAATTCACGGTCGGCTTTTAAAAAAAAATATTTTAAAAAAAAATTACAGTTTTTCAGAGAGAAAAAATGTATTGAAGCATTCAAAACTGAGAAATATCAGCCTAAAGAGGGAGTGAAAAATATTAAAAATTTGAAGAAAAAAAAAAGATTTCCGACCGACCAACCCATGTTTTGGCACCTAAATGGCAATAATACAACATCTTTTTTTCTAGGCCTTGTCGTAGTACAGAGTTGCAATTGGTTTCAAGTCACTATCAATTTGATTCAATCAGAACTAGACAGGGTGCCATGGATATTGGAGTGTACCAATCACCTGAAGATACGATTTGTGTAGGGACCTACAGGTTCTGGGGGTGTTTCACAAAGACTATAAGGTCGACTTTAAGTTGGACTTAACTATGGCAGGCCTTCATGACACTAGTTGCTCTCACCTTTGCTCTCACGATTATGATCTTTAGATAACAATTTTTCCTTCAATAATGAACTATCAAAAAAAGGTCAATTCTGCAGATTTGTGACCATGATTTGTACGTCCCTTGAGAAACCAATGCCCGGAATGGTTAGAGGAACTAGTGGCATGAATGGCCGGCCATAGTTAAGTCCAACTTAAAGTCAATCTTAGTCTTTGTGAAACACCCCCAATTCTACTTTGTGTTTCACTGTGACATCACTGGCCCTGCTCTCTTTGCCATAGATATGCCAAGCACAAGAACCCATCAGAGATGAAAATACCATTTTTGAATGACGACATTGGAATCGAGATAGCAGCGAATGAGACATGGCCAGAAGCATCATCGCCATGGATAAAGGTGATAATACAATAATCAAATAAATCAAATGAATGGTAGCCCCCAAAAGAGAGAGAGAAACGGAAATATATAGATAACAAATAAACAAATGCTTGGATTGAGCCAAATCGGAGAACAAAAATCAAATAAATCAAATGAATGGTAGCCCCAAAAAGAGAGGGGGGGGGGGAATCTTATTGCACTTTGTATTCTGAGGTGCATTTAAGGCTCTTTCAGATATGTTGCTTTTGCCGCAACATATTTGAATGATGCTTTAAACTTGTCATGTAATTTTATTCTGCCTGTATGTTCACACCATGTGATCTCTTCATTTTTTTTAAATATCTTTTTTTTAATTGCACTCCTTGTTCTTTTTCCCTTCCCTTTTTTCCCTCCGTCTCCTTCCGCTATCTCTAGATTGTTCCATGGGGCTTGAGACGTCTTTTAGCCTGGATCAAGACTACCTATGGTGACGTACCTATCTACGTCACAGAAAATGGCGTCTCGGAACCGGACGGTCCAATGAACTTGAACGATGACGTCAGATCTAAGTATCTTCGTGCGTACATTAACGAGGCACTCAAAGGTTTGTCCCAGTCGTGTATCACATAGGCTAAGGAATCAAAAGCCATTTGTGACCGTGCATCACAAAAAGTTGCTAAAAAAGACTTTATTACTTAAAGTGACTCAGTAACTAACATTGCCTCAGATTTGGAAACAAAATACTGGATTTAGCTCATGCTGCAATCATAATTACAAACCTTTAGGTCAGTCAGGAATCCCATGACTTTTACAAGCTGATCTCCTGTTTGATTATCAAGATATTTATGATTGGAAATCGAAATTGCATTTTTCGTTTTTCCTAACAGTTTTTTGAACACTTCAGTCTATTGGGGAAAATAAGTATGGTAAAACCGGTCATTCAAAGACTTTTACTTTTTTGAGGCACTTCATGATTATTTTGAAGCGCAATGCTAATAGGGCTTCAATATTACACCATATCACAGACACTGATATTAAACACACTGGGCCATGTAGGCCTATCTCAGATTTAACATTGTTAAACGATGCCTTTAAGCATTTCGAAAAGCTCTCGTTAAAACTATACCCCACCACTATTACACAGGAATCAATGTAATCTGGTGGGGTGCCATGCAGAACCCCAATTTTGTTTCTCTCGTTAAAACTTTGAGAGAGCTTCTTCTACATGTATAACACAGGCACCAATGTAATTCCGCTTAGCTTTAAAATGATATTGTATTGCTCATCACAATTAGATGTCCCCAACTCAATTTAAAAAGAGAATAATGTCAAGTCTCATAAAATATTACTTTAGAGAAAAAGATTGCAGGGTCACATTCGCATGCAATTCTCATTCCTGTTACAAAACAGTCAGGAAGTTGTGATGGTACAAACTATCATTGGGTATATAGAATGTTTACTTTTAACCCTGAAAAGGCAGGGTTATTTAGGTGCGCTCTCAGCCTGGAATATACCCACCCTATCTTGAGATTGATCATAGAGTGACAGAAACTTGGTACACAAATAAAGGATCTCATCAAGAATCTGTCCATAAAGTTTCATATCTATGAAACAAACAGTTTTTGAATTATCGCTAATTGAAAATTCACATATCCGCGAATTGACAATCAATGCTGCATAGTGTACAATATCATATCCGAACAACTACCCCCTAGGATAGTTGTCTGGGGGGTTGTTGTCCTAGAGGGTGGTCGCCCAAGGGGGTACGTAGTTGACTGTGGGTTGTTATCTGGGGAGTGGATGTCCAGGGGGTATGTGTCCAATGTACAATACAAATGGGGAATTGTTCATTTTGGCTGTGCTGTTCCTGTAGTTCATACATGTACCTGAATGCATTTGGTATCAAAAGATGCCTAAGACTCTCTGGGGTAAAGTTTTAAATGCTAGCGGTGCAAAAAATACTACCCTTGAATGATTGGGGAGGGGGAGGGGGTTGAAATCTGCCCTGGCCCTTGGCCATTTCAGGGTTAATATAACATCCCTCTGCATTTCCTAAAGGCATTTAGTATACAGGTAATCATAAAAATTGGCTGCCATTTAATAATGTGACATTCCAGGCGAGCTTGTGCATGTAGTATGCACCGAGCTGTAGTTACTAATTGAATAAATACAAAATATAATTTTTAATGAGGGAAAATCATAGCTGAAAATGTAAGAAATATAGCAATATATAACAGGGGAACATTTGTAACTAATTTATTTGAAAATACTGAAATATAGCAGTTCTTACAAACCTATTTCAGTTATGCCAAACCTTTACCCCTGAAGGGCAACATCTTATTTATGCAATTTGCGTTCTGACAATTGTAGTACAAACAGTAATAGCAGGTGGATGAAATACTTCATCATCACACACACTTGGGAAGGAAGTATCCATAATTTTGAATACATTTACTTGATATGCCCATGTCATCCTGAGAAACTAACGTTATGCTTAGAATATCTTGATTAAATACATTTCATACACTTTGGTAGGAAATATTGCAGATTAATGGGCAAGAATACATAGAGAAATTTGTATTAAGCACTATATAAGCGGAATATTATTATTATTATTTATACAACTATTGTATTTTACAGCTTCCCACCTAGATGGCGTCAACCTACGGGGCTACTTTGCGTGGTCATTGATGGACAACTTTGAATGGTTTCAAGGATACAGTGACCGCTTTGGCTTACACCACGTAGACTTCACTGATCCTCTGCGCCGCAGAACGCCAAAGGCATCTGCGCAGACATACGCAACCATTGTCAGAGACAATGGTTTCAGGCCAAAAAAAGTGGACAGCAAGGATGAACTATGACATGTACCTTGACCTAGGTTATCAGCCGTTTAACCTGTTGACCACCGAATTCTATCATTCCCATAGGCTTTATACAGGGACTACCCGGTACTAGTAGGCAATGGGTTAAGTGTGTGAAACAACTGAAATAACAGTGTAGTCCTGCTGAAAAAGTAAACAGTACTCCATGTAGTCTAGTTAAGGGGTGGGAAGGGTGCATATATGTCCTGGGGGTGTTTCACAGAGATCCTAAGTCGAATTCAACTCTTAGTTGGACTTAAATATTATGGAGAGCCATTTGTAGCCTAAAATAGAATATATTCAAATAAAAAATTAAGAGTATTTTAGACTTTTCATAAATTAAACATCAAGAACATGAAATCTCCTTAATAATAGAAAATATGAATGATTTGAATTAACATGTTGTGCCTTTTAAAATAACTTCTAAAAATATATTCAAAGATGCTAACGGTTTTCCATAATTTTTAAGTCCAACTTAGAGATAAGTTCAACTTAGGATCTTTGTGGAACACCCCCCCCCCCCCCCCTGGGCCCCGTTTTACAAAACTTGTCACCAGTGACTAATGACAGATTTTGTTAAGCTACTGAAATCCTTGCTTCTGATTGGTTATTAGCAGATTTGTCAGTGATTTTGGTCATTTTTCATTTAACAAAAGCCTTTGTGAAACAGGTCCCTGGATGGCACTTGAAGGAGGTGCAAATAAAGGCGCCATATTGCCACAAAATAAGCCACAGAGTGTACTCCCCACTCGTCAGCTCCATGACCACTTCTTTTAGATATACTGGGCTAAAAGTTGAATTCAGGTCATGCAATTGCATTGTGAAAGAAGCGGTGTGGAATCGATCAGAAAAGGTTGAGCATCTAGCATATAAGTATTGGTGTAAGCCTACTGCAAGGTTCTGGAATCATCAAAATGAAGAAATTTGGGACAGTCTTGGTAAAGTTACAAGCACTGTACACAGAAAGATGTATATGGGAATACACAAACATGGCATAAAAATCTGTCCCGATTGTTTATGTTGTTACATGCCATATTTAGAATATGAAAGGATCTGAAGAGCCATGTTTTTTTGAGGGAACATTTTCCTCTGATATTCTTCCACACCTGCATAATAGCAATGATAACACTCACAAATAATTGTTCACCTCTTTCCAGAACGCAACCTTTTTTTTAAAGCTGATAGATGTACATACTATAGGGAAGGTCATGCAGCAAGGCAAGTTAAGGGTTTCCTTATGTGTGGATAAGCTGATGTTTTGTGCTTGGTTGTCTTAACTCAGGAGGGTATCTGAACCCATATATCAGTACTTTGATGAGTGGAGTACATACACTGGCTGCTATCTTTTCCTTGTTTAATTTGATCTGCTGAAATATGAATACATGAGGGTTATTTTGCACTTAAGGGCAATCAAACCCTTAAATCATTTCTTTTTATGAAAGCTAAAAAAAAGCAAGAGAAATATGATTGCAAAGTATTTATTATATCAGACCAATAATAACTTTTTTTTTAATATGAGATCCCTAAACTTTTGCAAAGCGCTAACGATTCGCTGCTTAATTCACGCGAGAGAGCCACAGCTTAGCTGCTTAATGCATGCATGCTCCCATTCATAATAGCAGTTATTGTTTATGCTCATTGTACTGTTCTGAGTGCTTCACAAGCGCTATTGATCGCACCATTAGATTATCTCAAAATAAACTTGGCACAGGGGGATAAGCCCTGTGGCACCGGGCTGTATTCATTATGGCAGGATAAGAGTTAACAGACGTGTATCAATCAGATAAGATTATCTAAGTTTTGGGACTGACCTTTAACATCACCGTCTAAAAGACGAGACTCATTTTCAAATGTGTCACCTGAGCCAGTTTGTAGTGGAAGAAAGATAGATGATCAAGTGAACCTTCCGCTAGACCAATTCACATGATACATCTTGTGTGTCTTCTCAAAATGTTCTGCTTTCTTTTAGATTAGTTTACTATTAGGGTTGGATTTCCCTTTAAGTCACTCTGTAGAGACTCTGGTACTCTGGTTATAGTGAACCCTTTTTGGCATTATATTCCTGCAGTATTTATATATCAGTATTCCTGCAGTAGTTAATGCAGATGGGTATAAACAACACGGCAAGACAGTTCACCATATAAGTTATCATTGTTTGTATTTGAGTACGCCCACTAGGCATGGCGGCATTAGGCCATTTGAAATGGGTGGGGACCTGGGAGGATGAATAAAGCACATTTGCTAGTAATTACCATATGCCCTCATGGTGAGCTTATGGTAGTATTACTCCCCATGGTGTGGAGATGGTGCACATAGTGTGTGAATGAATCCGATGACCGAGGTAATGATAGACATATCTGTAAAGCACTAAGAGACAGTATTTTGTATTAAGTACTATGTAAATCCAGATTTGTATTATTGATCTAAATATTATAGTTCTGCCACTTTCCTGATCATAAAAACCTTTGTGATCAAGGGGCAGATGCAGGATTTTGTAAGGAAGGGGTGGGGGGGTTCTCTTTCAAATAATTATCTGACAAGAAAATAATGATCTTCACATTTACATGTACCAAGTGCTTTTTCGGTCGAAAATTCGAAAAGGAAAAATATTGTTTGCCTTTTATCCTCGGTATGCCAATTAGAAGGGGAAAGGGCTGTGGCAAGCCTAAACTCTGCCTGAAATCTGCTAGAGCTTTGGTGAACCTGAACTTGTTTACAAATGTAAGCAAGCATTTGATTTTATACTTTCTTGAATTATATATAAAGGCCAATAAGTTTGAAAATGAGAGTGTAAAGTTGCCTTATTGATTTTCCATTTATTGTTGCTTCCAATCGTTTATTGCTTTACGTGTAAAGAAGCTATATTGTGTAATATGTATATCATTCCATATCATTGTGTACTTCTACTTCTACTTCTATAGTAATACTCATCAACGCTTGTTCAGCATCTAGATGAAGGTAAAGCATAGAGTTTTTATATACAGCTCTATGCGGTGCAGTTCCTGAAAAGGGAACTAAATTGTTTCAAGAGCCACCTTGAACTGCACCAAAGAAGGCAGTTCGACGATGATCTGAGGTACCTCATCCCAGTCCTTACGTGTCCTGGGTGAATAACTAAATTTGTAAGTGTCCAATGAAGAGCCTAGTCTCATATATTGTTGTTGCTATCTTGTAGAACATTGACAATCGTGCCTGTTTTCTTCTTTCTTCAAGAGTTGGGAGATTAAGTTGTTCTCGCATGGATGTTACACTGGCATCACGCTGGTAGTTTCCACAAATGAAACAAAGTGCACGTCTTTGGATCTTCTCTAGTTGGTCTATCTGATTCTGCTTGTTGGGGTCCCATATTACCCAAGCATACTCTAGCTTGGACCGCACGAGGGAGATGTATGCCAGTTTTTTCACTTCTGTTGGACATTGTCTTTAGAGATTTCTCTGAATGAATCCAAGGGTCCTTGAGGCCTTGTTTGTGACCGCATCTACATGCGATTTCCAGCTTAGATGCTCATGTAGCTCGATTCCAAGATATGCTTTGCTGGCCACACTTAGATGATCATCTCCCCTCGTAGTATAAGTGTGCACAATGGGTTGCCTCTTTCTGTGTGTATTCACATTGAGTAACATTTCTTGGCGATGAATTGCATTTGCCAATGATCAGCCCACTCCAAAAGTCTGTCCATGTATGATTGAAGTTTTATTGTGTCATCTACAGATGCTATTCTCCGCATCAAAAGGCAATCGTCCGCAAATAATTTGATGGTAGAATCGACCTCATCACCAATTTCATTTATGAATAAGAGGAACATCACAGGACCTAGAACTGTGCCCTGAGGCACTACTGAAGTGACATGAACCGACGCTGAAGCCTCTCCATCAACAAACCACTCGTTGAGTCCTGGTAGTCAACCAAGTTTTTACTGATGTACCCTATTTCATTTTCAAACTATTTGTATTTAAATGTTACTTTGTTTCACATATTTAAGTTGATTTCATATGTACATTGTAAATGTTTATAACCTGTTTTTGTGTTTTTTACTGAATTTGAAATAAAACGTATCAATCAATCAATCAAGTTGATATCCAGCTTAGGGTCACATCACAAATTCTGTAGTATTTTAGCTTACCGTATTTGCCGGCGTATAGGCCGCAGTATTTTTGGAAGAAAAAATATCAAAAAGTCGGGGTGCGGCCTATGCGGCGAAAGAGTAAAAAAAAGATTTTTTTTTTTTTTTTTTTTTTTTTTTTTTTTTTTTTTTTTTTTTTTAGTTTTGATTTATGGCGCTATGCCTGGCAATGTCTCCCAGCTCAGTAATCAGTGTTGACTCACCACTCGGAAACTACAACAACACTAAAATTTGTCTGTCATCTTGGTTTGAAAGTAATCTTTCTAATAGATCTCAATATGTAGTTTATAATAATAATTCCTCAATTTTTTTTATATAACAAATGGTGTACCACAAGGTACTATCCTAGGACCTAGTACTCTTTTGTTTTTAATTCACATTAATGATCTTACACATTCTTCTAAAAACGACATTGTTACTATTATTTTGTGACAAGTTTACAAGCACAAATCAGCGCCTTTAACTGCACCTCGATGTTAAATGAAGGTCCTACCCCGCGTGGGTTTTCGGCAACAAAACAACAACAACAACCAAAAAAAACAACAAAAAAAAACGATTTTTTTTTTTTTTTTTTTTTTTTTTTTTTTTTTTTTTTTTTTTTTTTTTTTTTTTTTTTTTTTTTTTTTTAATGTCAAAATCGGGGGTGCGGCCTATACGGCGGTGCGGCCTTTACGCCGGCAAATACGGTATTTAAAAGCCATTGATGAGCAACCTTGTCCAAGGCCTTGCAGAAGTCAAAAATCAACGTCTGTTTGATGTTTGTTATCTAAAGATCTGGAGAGTTCTTCCACTGTAGTGATGAGTTGATATTTGGTAGAATGCTTGTTGCGGAAACCATGTTGATATTCCATTTATGAACTCCTTGTATGATTCTTATGTCTCGAAAATGCTGCCAGCATTGTTCAGTGTCAACTCTCTTTGCCTTGTTGTATAATTTTTTTCTTTCAAATTTGTCTCTTAATATCAGTCGTCATCATTGGTACATCCTGCCATGATGACAATTTTTCTGCGGGATATGTTTGTCCATCAAAAAACGAAATAATTCACTTTCGAAGGTTTTCCAATTTAGATTTACCTCCCTTTCGTCAGCAGATCTAATAAAGGAGTCCTTGAATTGTATAATGTTGTCACCTAAACCTTTCATATTCCATCAC